AGCGGGGACGGATGGATGGATGGATGGATGGATGGATGGATGGATGGATGGATGGATGGATGGATGGATGGATGGATGGATGGATGTGGAAGTGTTATATCTACAGATGCTTCCCAACTACAAAACAAACACTTCAGCATCCAGACATCAGGAATCTAGGGTAGAGCTTCAGCTGCCAGACTTGTCTGGGAATCTGGGAGATGCACGTGAAGCTCCCTGGCAAAAGGTAGAAACTGTGGCATCTAAAATATGAAAAAATTCTGTTTAAGAAAGTCCCCAAAGAAGCACTGTACATTATAAAGAACAGCATTGAAATGTGAGCTGTGACTTACAAACCCCCAGTATGATTCTGCCTTAACATCTTCCTTCCTCCCTTCCTAATTATTTAACAAGTTTTCCATGTACAATAGTGCCTTTATACAAAGTTTCAATTCTTTTGCAGCAAGTGTTACTGACTTCATATAAAGATGCTCTTTGATAGAAGTTACTTTCATTTTCAGCACTTCTCAATAGTTCTGTTTTGACTTTGTGCTCCTTTCCCCCCAAAATCTGAGTTACAAAACTACTTCCTTCAGTCTCCAGTGGAGGCTTGTTTGTATTGGCTTTGATGTGAACAGTTTTAGCTGCTTGGTTTAGTTTTATCCTTTCAGGTTTAATTTTAACCCTTTAAGGGTTTATTCAGAAATAATTACACAGCATAAAATCTTAAAAGGCACGGTGAGATGCTCATGGTAAAAATGTATAACAGGTCTGGTTGGGGAAAAATGTTACAGAACTGGTGTTCTCCTTGCCTAAAAAAGGAAAATACAGGTGGTATCTTTGTCAGTCTCCCTAGTGGAAATAATAGGCAAGATTTTAAAAGCTGGTTAACTGCTGCAGTTAAAGAAACTGAACTCTTACAGTCACACAAAAATCCAAAAGACCAAAATAGTCTTAATTAAGAGCTGTATGTTTTCTAAAATTATAAAAATTAACATCATTTGGCTTCCCAAGAAGTAATTACAGGTGATAGAGACTTGAGGAGATAAAACCTGTGGGGCATCTACAGTGTGTGGGTGAATTAGGAAGCCCAGACGAAATGTTCAGAAATGTGAGATGGATAGGTAAAGCCACTGGCTGCCACTGATCAGAAATGTCCTAAGCAGCAAGAAAGTACAAAAAAACTCGACTGCTTTGGCTGTTACAACAGAGAGAAACTGCAGCAGCAAGGAACTTGCAAAAGGAAATTAAAAGCTGTCAAGATTCCTTGACAGGATCCATCCAGAATTTCAAATTTTCTTTTACTTTGGATACAGATGTCAGTGTTTACAAACCCCAAAATTACTACCATAAGAAAGACTGGAAGGCCATTACTATAAAAGTTTAACTTTTCTAGAAGCACAGCATCAGTTGAGACTGAATAATGATCTTGCTGCTCTTGCTTTGGGAACAATAAACTACAATACACCTCAAACGTAAAGAGTTGGAGTGGGGATAGGAAAGATGGAAGCAATTGCTTTACCTTAAAATAGCTAAAAAAGGCAAATAGCTGTAGAGGAAAATGTCTTATTTCAGCATATAAGCAAAAGCCTTCCCTGGAGTTATAATCGCTGCCTTGCTACCCGCCAGATGTTCTCCATAAAGGAAAATTCACTAACTCTTCAAGTACCACAGGTATATGAAAAGCCACTAATTTTATACTGGCTAATTAAGTTAAAATCATTCCACGAAGTCACTGTAATTTAACTCATCAATGCTCTAAAATGGCTGGGATAAGTAGGAGTACTAGTGCCAGATAAAACCCAGGAAGAAGGATGGAGACATTGGGTTTCTGTGCTTGTAAACCCAGCCCTGCCCACCAGATGGTGGCAGGAGAAGCTTCTGGGGTTGGTCACCATGTGCAGTTTTTTTACTCTCCCTTATGCAGTGCAGAGCAACAGGTGATGGTGTTTTAGGTTTCACTGGAGGCATCTCTGGAGAGAAACTACATTGGGCCTGAATCTAACAATGAAAAATAACACATGGGTCAGAACACGTGGAAGAAAGTACGATTTGTTGAAGTGCAGTAACATGTCAGCTTTTTCTGGGAAGGCTGCAAAGATATGGAAACTTCAAACAATAAGGACAATATAATTAATTTTCTTAACAGACAACATAAAGCCACACAAGACAGGCAACCCAGAAAGGCTGGTTTAGTGCAAGGAGGGAGATCTGACAGCCTGTGCAGGAAGAAGGAGCCTCTCAAATTGAGGTGGGTTTTTTTGTGAAAAGCTGTGCATGGAGGAGGTTCTCAGAAGTGGCTGAATCCAAGCATTTGGAAATTTGTCTGTGGGGGAATGCCCCTTTGGCCTGAGTGCACAAGGGAAGAACTGTGGTGGTGGCACCTGGCTCAAGGCTGCCTCCCCTGGCCCCATGTAGTGTTTTGAGATGTGATCACTGCTGTAGCTTGCAGTGGGACACGTGTGTGTGCTTTAGGCACCCTGCAGGCTTTGGGGCTGCTGGTGACAGGGAGCTCAAACCCCTCTGGGCTCACACCACCTCTTTGTACACCCCTAAAAAACCCCAAATACTCCTGCAGCTGCAGGGATTGCTCAGTGTTACCTCGCCAGTAACACACAAGGCGCATCCTCATCGACTTACACTTGTGCTCCAACCAGTATAAATATTTGCTAATGCAGGGCCCTTTCAGAGCTGTGTTACAGCTTTACCTGTGATTCTCATTGGGCAGAACTGCAGTTTGTATCTGCAGTAACATCTGAACCCCTCATCTTCCTGGAACATGTGTTTTCAGCTGGACAGGAGGGCGGGAGAACACTTAGTGGCATTACTGTGCAGCTAAAACACTCTTCTGGCTCTCAGTGTCAGAGAAGTGACAGCCTCTGCCAGCCCATGGCCTCTGGACTGTGGGGCATGAGCTTTATCACAGGCTGCAGTCAGCTGCAAATTAATAGAGAAAATAATACTTTTTGTCCTGTGAACCACATTAGCCACAGAATTATGCCATTATTTCTTTCTTCAGCTGCTTTTCTGGTTCAGTTCCAGTTCAGCTCTGCCTCAGCAGAATCCCAGCCAGGCTGAATATGAATTTCAGCTGAACCAGAATCTCTGCTGGTTCAATGTTCCATTCTTGTTATGATACACAAATTAACTAGGAGCCAGAATGCAATTAAGATTGATGAGTACAAGGATTATTTTTTTACTCTCACAGCCGTATCTGTTCCAGCTTTTAAGTCTTCCTGTCTATAGCAGCAAGCATGAGGGAGGAGCAGAACATGTATTCTATGTCAGCAAGTTACAACATCAGAAAGAGAGTAAACAACCCCTGCAAGCACCTCCTGCAAATCTAGGAAATGGATATTACCCATACCAGAGACAAACAAGAGTAGACACTATCAGCTTTGGGTGTTTTAAAGCCAAAACACTACAATCTGACTGGAGCTGTGTGACTCAAATCTTCCTCTACCAAAGGCAGGATTCATTTTGAAAATCTAACATGAGCTGAACCCCAATTTCAATTTACAAAAAAGTGAATTTAGTTTTTCAGCCACCATCCTCTCACACCAATAAAACTGGGAACAGATTAGCAATTACTAAAACACGTAATGAAGTATCTTTTGAACAGGAAGAGGTCAACTTATGTTTTCCCAAGGGTCATTATACAACTTTATAGCACCAGACTATATATGATTTGAACGCTGTATTTCTAAATGAAATGGTTTTGGAGTTCTCACATTTTATGTGGCTGTTTTTCTGCAAGAGAAAATGAACTGTAATGCTGATTTCCTCTCAGCTCTCTCAGTTTTCCATACACACACACACCTGCACATATATACACAGTGTAGTGTTAGTTCTTGGTATGTTAATGAAATGCCTGAGTTGTAACAGCCTTTTTTAGTAAATTTGACCAGCAACTCTACATTGGAGGATCTCTTCCCTGTAACTTTCCTTGGCATTTAACACTGCCTGCAAAGTTAGTGAATAAATTTTGACAAAATCCTGTGGTGCAGAGGCAGGTATTGTTACTACTGCTATTAATGTACTTTTTGGAACAAGGCAGAAGGAATTCCCTTTGGTCAACCTGTGCTACAGGAGTTACAGCACAGAGAGATTTGGGGCCACATTCTCCCCCTCTCCCCCATCCTTTGGACCTTGAAACCTTTCTGCGTGCAGTCATTTAGCAAAGGTTGTGATTCTGTGCTGTTGTCTGACGTCTGGGTCACCTGTGCCTGGACATGGCCAGCACGTGGCTGGATGAGAAGCAGGCAGCCAACAGTGCCACAGTGTTCCTGGTGTATATCCATCGCTGCTCCTTGGGGAGGATGGCAGAGTATTTTGGACTGGGGTAAATTACAACCATGAACTTTGCTTGTGCCAACTAAAACAGCACAAAAAAAATAAAATTCCCCCCCGCGCCCAGCAGTGGTGAAGCTTTCACCAGAGCTAGCACAGCCATCCAACTATAAATAGCAACTTCCCTAAAATTAGATGGAACTGGCAGGCTCTGGGCCATGAATGGGAGCACTGTTAATATGCTCATCAGGTACTGGAAGGGCTCCAAATCTGACAAGGCCTGCTACGGCACAAACGTTCTGTGCCTGGAAAAATGAGCAGGAACGGCTGAATGAATGGGGCCAGGGATGTTTTCCTAACTGGATAATAATGTCACAGACTGCCTGACGATGCTGGTTGCATTTAAAGGAGTACTGCAAGAAGGGATATTTCTCCATATTTCTTACTGCTTTGCTTATGCTAACAGAAAATGCTGTTAAATCTAATGAATAAAGAAAGGTGGGAAGTCGTTTAGGAGGAAATTAATACTGAGATACTCAGTAAAGTTAAACCAAGCTGGGTAACAGTGTAAATTTTAGTATGTAGCTTCTTTTGGCTGTTTTCTTTCAGAAATGGCTAGGTCTTCTCTGCACTCCTCCATGGTGATTTTCTGAATAGTGAATAAAAATATGAGTCAGTGGTACACCAGGTACTTGGTACTAATTGGCTGCTCCCCTGCTACGGAAACATCAAAAATGTTGTTTGGCTTTCTGCAGTCCAAAGCAGACCCCATGGCATAGAAGGTGCCATTGTGGTCCCAAAATGGCAGAGAAACTTCAACTGCACAGATGATGTATGCTGACCTTTTCTCCAGCGTAGCACCACTGAAATCCAATCACTTCTGCACCTGCCATCAATCAGCCCACACTTCCATATATAGTCTTTTTTTTCCCCCTAAAAAAATTAAGTTACCTCATACAAAGGCACCTTGAGGGCACATTGCATTTCCACAAGAGAAGTCAGAGCACAGCAGCTGATGAATTGTGAATTTCCACCGAGCTTATTGTACAGTGTCTCTCCCATGTTGATAAACCATTAGCTCACTTCAGTTTAATTCATTTTGAGCGTGAATTAAGTTAAGGTAATTATGGCCAGCTGACTCCTAAATTAGTGTCCATAGAGAAATTATATATGCTCGAGTTATACTCACTTTAAATTCACATCTTTTTTTAGTTAATTCACATTGACATCTTGTGCAGGACAAGTCATTGGGTATCTTGGGCTTGTGCCAGAGTACCTTGAAGGTAAGAAAGGAGATTTTGAACCAGTCAAAACAGAGGGCAGAAAAATCAGATTCTCAGAGTAGAAAAATATAGCAAAATTTTTTGTTAAATAGAAAACATATAAATGGCTCAAACATAACAAGATTTTTGCACGTAACTATGATAATTTAATGTTTTTTATGAGAAGCATTAAAATTAAACAGCATGGCACTGTTTCTATGTCCTTCTCCAGTCAGCACTTGTTGGCCATAAGGAAACTCCAAATTTACCCACCATGCCCCAATTAATGTGATCATTTAAATGGGCTAAAGTAGTTGCACAGCTTGTTTGTTGGGGTTTTTTTTCTGAAATCATCTCTTCATATGGCCGTATTGACTTGTTTCTAATGTACAGAATTCTTTGAGTCGTACGTAGATTCATTTTCACCATGGCTTCATGAAATAAGAGTGAAGTTAGTCTAACTCCAACTGGAAAGTAATGATGCCATTGCTCCAGTCCTCCTGCAGCTTTGCCACTGTCATATTAGCAGGCTGTATTGGTGGCCTGAAGGCCTCACACAGCTGCAATGGAAAGTAGGTTTAACCACAATTTCCAGACAATGGTTTTTGCTTAGGAGAAATTTTGTGTAAGCCAGCACTTTGAAATTTAATTCTACAGGGGCTAAAAGCAAGACTGTTTTTTCTCCATGAGGGGATTTAATATTTGGGTTAACCACTTGATTAGCAAGGTTATGACCTTTGTTTATGGAATAGCTGCTGCATTTTTAGCCCAACGGGAAGGAAAGCTTTGATGTCCAGAGTGCTGACAGTGAAGTGTGTATTTTCACTGGGGAAATGTTCTGTGTCAGTGAGGAGCAGGAATTAAGTCTAATGAGGACTCAAATGGGCTTCTTGAATAATTGTGTGTGCATGGGGGGAAACAACTAAAGTGACAAACTTACCAAAGCTTTCTATATGAAGATATAAAACCTGTTAGGATGTTACTGTAATTCTTCTGGAATACTCTGCACAGACTTCTTAAACATAGTGATAAACGTGAAGAAAAGTTTCAGAAAGAGATATGCCCTGGATTCTGAACCGAGATTTCAGTAGCAAAGATAATGAAACAAAAACTGCCAAAACAACTAATGGAAGTTCAGGCTCTACTTCATAGTTCTAGTTTACTCCATAATCCCTTTTTTCCTCACATTTCCAGCTCTCTCTCTTCCCACCGAGCCCGGAGAGCTGCCACTAGAGGTCAGGTGTTTATCGCTCTCCTCACTGCCATCAATCACCTCTCGTGCTGCTTGGTGATAAACGAACCTGCCTGAAGACAAACTAGAAATCAGAGTGAACTGTGAATTTACACCACGGTTATGTGTTCTTCACAAATCACAACATTTAAATTCTAGTTACGATTTCATGTGAGAAATCTGCAGTGCAAAGATGGCATTTCCGTAGAAAAGAACCTGCCGGAAGACAAAATAGAAATCAGAGTGAGGGTGAACTGTGAATTTACACCACGGTTATGTGTTCTTCACAAATCACAACATTTAAATTCTAGTTACGATTTCATGTGAGAAATCTGCAGTGCAAAGATGGCATTTCCCAACAGGCAGGGAAAACAATCATTGATTCAGGTGCTGCACAAAACCAATGGAGAAGCTATCAGTAATGGTGATGAAAATAATGGTTAGGTACAGCACATGTA